AGTGTGTTGTTCAGTGCCTGTGTGTCCTTACTTATTTTCTGCCCGGTGGATCTATCCTTTGGGGTGAGTGGTGTGTTGAAGTCTCCTACAATGAATGCATTGCAGTCTATTTCCCTCTTTAGTTCTGTTAGTATTTGTTTCAGATATGCTGGTGCTCCTGTATTGGGTGCATATATATTTAGAATGGTTATATCCTCTTGTTGGACTGAGCCCTTTTTCATTATGTAGTATCCTTCTTTATCTGTTGTTACTTTCTTTGTTTTGAAGTCTAGGTATACTAGCTTTTTGAGAAATTTTGCATCTACATTCATCAGAAATACTGGCCTGTAGCTATCTTTCCTTTGTGCTATCCTATCTGGTTCTGTATCAGGGTAATGTATCACTTATAAAGTGAGTTTTAGTGTTCCCTCTTTGATTTTTTTGGAAGAATTTTAGAAGGATTGGTGTTAATTCTTCAGATGTTTGATGAAATTAATCAGTGAAGACATCTGATCCTGGGCCTTTCTTCATTGGGAGTTTGTAATTACTGATTCAATCTTCTTATGAGATTGTCTGTTCAGATTATCTATATCTTTTTGATTCAGTCTTGGTATGTTGTATGTTTCCAAGATTTTTTAAATTTCTTCTAGGTTGTACAGTTTGTTGGTTAGATTTTCAGAGTAGCCTCTTATCATCCTTTGTATTTCTGTGGTATCAGTTGTAATGTCTCCTCTTTCATTTAAAATTTTGTTGACTTGGATCATCTCTCTTTTTTTCTTGGTTTATCTAGCTAAAAGTTTGTCAATATTGTTTATATTTCTAAGAATTAATCTTCAGTTTTGTTGGCCTTTTCCATTATTTTCCTATTCTCCATTTTATTTATTTCTCCTCTAATCTTTCTATCTTCTTTGAGGTAACTGTAAACTTAGTGTGCTCTTCTTCTAGCTTATTGAGGTATAAAGTTAGACTATTTATTTAAGATCTCTTAATTTTCTTGATGTATGCATTTATAGATAGAAACTTTCCCTGTAGAACTGATTTTACTGCATCCCATAAGTTTTGGTATGTTGTGTTTCCATTTTTGCTTGTCTCAAGATACTTTTTAATTTTCCCTATAATTTCTTCTTTGACCCATTGGTTGTTGTTTAATTTTCATGTGCTCTTGAGTCCTAGTTGCATACTGTGTAGTTAAAGAATGTCCTTGGTATGATTTCAGTCTTTCTAAATTTGCTGAGACTTCTTTGGTGGCCTATGATTTCTCCCAGAAATTTTCAATGTGTGCTTGAGAAAAATATGTGCTTGGATAGAATGTTCCAATTGAAATTTATTGTCTCTCAGTAGTGGAAGCTAAAATTCCAAGATAAGGTGTTGACAGGATTGGGTCTTTATGAGGGCTATGGGAAGAAATCTGTTCCACACTTCTGTTCCTGTTTCTGGTGGTTTGCTAGCAATATTTGACATTCTTTGGCTTTTAGATGCATCACCTCTATCTCAGCCTTCATGTCTACATGGTGTTTTTCCTCTGTTGTTGTGTATCTGTCTTTGTGTCCAAATTTCTTCTTTTTATAAGGACACCAGTCATATTGGTTTAGGGCTCACCTGAATAACTTCACCTTAACTAATGACATCTTTAATGACTCTATTTCTAAATAAGGCTGTATTCTGAACTACTAGGGGCTAGGATTTCAACATAGAAAGTTTTGGGGGATAAAATTCAACCTATAAGTATCTATCTGTCAAAACTGGAATCATAAGTGAATACTTTCCTATAATTTGCTTTTTTATTTATCATGGATATATTGTACAGACCTATAGAATTGGACTTAATAGTTCAACACTAATGTATTTAGCTACCCATTGAATGATGAACCATTGGGTGAGTTTCTACTTTTTCAGTATTACAAAATCTGAAAAAATATTTGTATGTACTACTTTATGTACATGTGAATATTTCTTTTGATGTGGATATCAATAAGTGGAATAAAAGAGACAAAAATTTTAGGCATTTTATATTGTTAGGTACAGCCAAATTTTCTTTTCCTGAACTTTAGGCCTTTATCTCTGGAGTAATAATGCAATCCTCCCAATATTATATAAGTGCCATACAGTGACCATTTTAAAAATTATTTAGTACTTTTTTTTCTCTTCTTTTTTAATTCCTATTACTTACTCCACCCCCATCTTTTGTCTTGTTCTTGCCCTCTCCTAAATTCCTTGTTGAATAGTGGGACTTTCCAAGAGGCTGACCAGCCAGCAACAGAGGACAATCTTAAGTTTCTTTACTTTCAGTTCCTGTTACATCTCCTCTTTCTTTTACGTAACACCAGAAGAAGTGTTCTAAGATGCAAATTTGATAATACTGAGCCTTTGCTCAAAAAACCTTCAAACATTCTTTGATGTCAGAATGACGTAGGTGTATGTTAGCTTAGCACATGAAGCTACCCTTGAACAGTCCCAGATCACTGCTCCTGCCCTCTCTACCACAGCCTTTACTCCACATTGAGTCATATTGAATTAGTTTTTAGTTCTAAGAACCTGACCCACTCTTTTCACCTCCCCTTATGCTTGCATACTACTTTTCTTTTTCCTGGACATTTACCCTTACTCTCCCACCCCTCCTCTCCATCTGGGAAGCTCCTTCTTACTCTTCAAGTAATTTCTCTGATCCCTACTTTTTATATATAAAAATAAAGATAAAAACAATGCTTTCATCTTGGTTGTATAATAATTCAGTGAGATAATCCTATTTAAAGTCATCATCACACTGCCAAGTACACAATAAATATTCAATGAATGTTAAATCTTCCTCAATTTTCTTTGTGAGACAATTTTGTGACATAAGACATATCATTGGTAAACTTTTTAAGACCCAATAATTTAACTTAATGTAGCTCATGGTAAGATATCTATGCTCAGTATAGATTGGTCAACATTAAGATATGATGTTGGTTACATTTCTCTAATCCAGTGGATTGGAAGGTAAGACTTGGCTTTTTGATTTTCTGAACATCTCATTATATACTCTATATACCCATCACTCAGTCTCAATGGTTACCAATATTTTGATAATTTGGATGTGACTTTTTCTTGACAAAACCACCCTGCCTGCTGGTAACTACTGCCATTTCATTGTGCACTGCTCCTCAAACATGTTTCATAATCCCTTCTTTTCCTTTTCTGGAAATAGTAGTAAAGTTTGCCATTATATATCTTTCAAGATACTCTTTCCTTTTTGATGACCGCCTTCATTCTTCTAGAATGTTCTTCATCTTTACCAATGTAAGTCTGCTTATGCTGCTATAACAAAAATGCCATGGACTGGGTGGCTCAAACAACAAAAATTTATTTCTCACAGTTATGGAGACTGGGAGTCTAAGATCAAGATACCATGTATCATCTAGTTCCCGGTTAGGACTTTTCCTGGCTTGTGAATAGCCACCTTCTATCTGTGTCCTTATGTGGAAGTAGGGGAGAGGAAGCTCTCTGGGGTCTCTTTTATAAGGGCACTAATCCCATATTGAGGATTCTACCCTTAAGACCTAATCACCTCCTAAAGACTCCATCTCCAATACCATCACACTGTGGGTTAAGATTTCAGCATATTAACTTGCCGTGAAGGATACAAACATCCTGTCCATTACAGCTAGTAATCTTGTAACTCCCTTCTGTATGTTTACCATCTGGCAAAATGAGTTGGAGACCAGAACTTAATGGAAGCCACTCAAAACTTGTTGTTTTGGCTCATTTCTTCTGAGCTCCATGTCCCTTCCTTTTCATCATAATCCATCTCTGACGGTGAGTGGGTAAGCACCTCTGCTTTTCTTTGGTCATCTGTTCATACCACACTGAGTAACTTCTGTGTTTCTATTTTTCTTGACTCAAAGATACCATAGAGCTTAAAAAATTGTCATTGTTAAGGACTCTGGAAGGAAGGGATGTGATCACACAAGAAGTTCTTGTCCAGGTTTTGCTGTAGGCCTCACATATGTGGCTTTCTATATACTATATGACAACTTTCAGCCTCTGTATGGGAGTGACAAAGCTATCTCAGAGCCTCATGCCCTCAGGTGATAGAATATGCTCACCTTGACCCAAGAGTATTACATCAAAAATCTTAATGCCACTGAGTATGATGTGAACCTAGGGTTTTAATGCTCTGAGAAGCCCTTTACAGTACAAAAGAGCGAAATAAGCAGGGGCAGAAGAGGGAGAATTACACTGGAAGGCTGCAGTGCTAGTACCCTCTCCAACTGGACCTTAAGAGAAACACATGATTTGATGAACCTCAGATTTGTGATCTGTAGGTGAGATGTAATTGTTCCAGCTGCACTGCCACCTTGCTTGGTTGAGGTAAGAATCAACCAAGGTAGGTCTCTGCAGTGTTGTGAAAATTATTGTCAGGGACAACCCAAGTGTCTTTCTGGAAGAAGTGGCAGTGAGGAGCATGCATTGTCAGAGGAAAAACCTGCAAGGAGAAGGAACGTGGGGGAACCAGGATCACTTTGCTTATGCTCTGCATGTTCTACTGACCCCAGCAGAGCACATGCTGAGACCATCATTTGTCTCTCTCATGGAGCCAGAGACAGGAGGTTATGCTGTCCTCGATGATATCCAAGATACTGGCTCCTGACCATTAAGTTGAAGATGCTGCTTTTCAGATAAAATGAGGTTTCTCCTGTGAGACAGCTGCACACTGCCCAGAGAAGGTTGGGCATTGAAGGTGTCTTTTCCTGTTCCTTCTGCAGGTTGGTGAATTCTGGCCTTACGTCAGGTTGCTGTCCAGCTCTGTCCTCCGTGCTCAGCACTAACCAGAATCTCACGCACCTCTACCTGCGGGACAATGCTCTTGGAGACTCAGGAGTCAAGCTTCTCTGTGAGGGTCTTCTGCACCCCAGCTGCAAGCTTCAGGTGCTCGAGTAAGTCTGTTAGCTTGTTACAGGGATGGGAATATGTGGTGGCTAAGCAGGAGAGGAGTGGTTTGGGGGTGTGAGGATGGGACAATCTGTATCTGAGAAGTGATGGTGTCTCCCTAGGGTGTGACTCATTACTGGGATCATGTGACTGGGAGGAGCCCTCCTTCCAGATGGTATAAAGGTAACTACTGGAGGTCCTTTCACCACAAACCCACACAAGGGGTAGCACGGTACTTGTGTTCGAGGGAAATTTGAGGGGAGACAGAGAACTTTAGAAAGTTTATTAGTTTGATCCATATAAGTAGCCAAGATAAAATACTCTCATGGGAAATGGAGAAGAGAATAACCATGGGTACATAAGGTTGCTCCAAACTTAGTAATGTTGTGCTTTTTCTGCATTTGAAACATATGATCTAGGAGGCCTGGGGGTATGGCTAGGAAATGTTTCCTTTAAATCACCCTTTTTCTTGCAGATTAGACAACTGCAGCCTGACCTCACACTGCTGCTGGAATCTTTCCACACTTCTGACCACCAACCAGAGCCTGCGAGAACTGAGCCTGAGCAGCAATGACCTGGGTGACCTGGGGGTCATCCTGCTCTGCGAAGTGCTGAAGCAGCGGAGCAGCCTTCTAAAAAGCCTAACGTAAGTCTGCTTTGCAGAGATTTCTGTGGCAGAGCTCTGAGCACTGTGGAAAAGTTGACCAGTTGTGATTTCATTTGCTCTTGGACTGAGGTTGGGCCTGGGCCAGTTTTGCAGATTTTTAAAATCAGGGTGTATGAAACATAAACATAATCAACTTCAATCAGACATTTCAAATTACCAAGCTTTAGGTGAGTTTGAAAAGACTTTCCATCCATATTTCTGAAAGAACCACAAGTTCCAGTGAAAGTGGCCAGGTAGAATTTTCTCTCTTTGCAAAAGGACTGCACTTTGCACAACTAGGCTGGTCTGTGGTTCGTTCTCAGTGCAAAGGTCTCTACTTAGTGGAAGTGTTGTTGATTTTGTTTCTAAATGGAAAGTGAGTGCACCAGAAACATCAAGATTGGAAATTACATAAAATTCAGCCTACCACTGGCCCCTTTCCATCAGGAGTGACGTTGCCGAGGTGCTCAGTATCTTTCTAATAAGAGCTTTCTAGTTTCACAGCTTCCATCGGCCCTGACAGTCACAGACTCCACTGAAGATGTTTCCTTCACTTGACTTGAGGGCCAGCATGCTCTCTTTTGGATTCTCCAAAAATTGCCTCATTGGCTGTGATTTCTGCTCAGTCTCCTCTTTTGTTTCTCTGCATCATTACCAACTTTATGTGCTGAGTCACCCTCTTTCTTGAGGATTCAAGCATCAGGATAATTTTTCTTCTCTACACATTCTCCGGCATTTATATTATCTAGTCTTTGGGCTTTCTATATATACGTGTCATGTCTCCCCACATCCCAATTTATATCTCCATGAATTCCTTGCCCAAATGACTATATGATCTTTCCCACTTGAAAGTCTAATAATCTTTCAAAACATCACATGTCCAAATCCACACCTATGCTATTTCCCCTCCCAAACCCCTCTGTCTTCTTCCTCATCTCAGACAATGTAACTAGTCTGAATTTCTCAGGCCTGAAACAATCCAGGCATCACCTTCGATGCATTTTTTCTGATCCATTGGTAGGTCCTGTTAGCTCTGCTTTCACAGCATCACCACTTTTTGACCACCTCATGCTGACTTCATGGCTTCTACCCTGGTTCAAGCCACTGCCACCTCTTCTCTGAGTTGTTCTGGTGGCATTCTGCCAGGCTTCCCCCATCTGTTTTCCTTACCATAGCAGACGGAAAGTACAGCTTAAACATGAGTCAGCTCATATCACTCTGACCAATGTGCTCCAGTGACTTCCTGTTACCTTCAAAGTACAAGCCACAAACTCATGGCAGTGTCCATGGCCCCACATGACCCGCCCCTGTCGTTTCTACTGACTCACCCTCCCCTAGCCTTTGTTCCTTCTGCTCTGCCCACACTGCTGTCCTTGTGGCCACATCTGGGGCTCTGTGCTTGCTCTTTCTTCTGCCTTGAACTCTCTCCTCACTGGGATCCACATGCCATGCTCCTTAATCCTTAAATCCTCTGCTTAAAGGGCATCTCTGTGAGTCTCTCTCTGACTGCCCTACTGAAAAGAGCAGGTCAGCATGCGCTTTACTTTTCTCTGCTTATTTTCTCCTTAGTGTTGACTACCATCAAACATGCTATGCATTTTCTTGTTTATTTATTATCCATATAATATTCCAAGAATATAAATTCCTTTAACTGAAGGACTTCTGTCCTTCATGATCTTGATGCTGAGAACCAAACAGGATGCAGGTTTGAATAAACAGAAATTCAGTCAGCACTGCATCCTTGTGAGGACACAATGGAATGTGTTTGCTATAGGAAAAGCCAACATTCCTAGAGCTTAGAGAAACAGAGGAACAAAGAGAGGGATTGGTGAAGATGAATCTGGAACATTGCTATATGTGGGGGCACAGACTTGACCCTGGTGGACACTGTGGAGAAGAGAGACAGGTTCAAAATAGACTGAGGTATCCACTGATGCAATCAAACCGTCTTATCAGCTTGGGATGACGTAAGGAAAGAGCAGAGCCAGGGGGCCTTAAACAGACACTTATTTCTCACAGTTCTGAGGAGAGAAAATCCAAGATCATGTTACCAACTGATTCAGTTTCTGGTGAGAGCTCTTTTCCAGGCTTATGGATAGACACCTTCTTGCTGTTTCCCCACATGGCAAAGAGGGGGGGGGGCAGGCATACAGAGTGTGCGTTCTGGTTTAAGGGCACTGATCCCATAGTGAGGACCACCCCATGACCTCATCTAATCCTAGTTACATCTCCAAAGCCCCATTTCCAAATACCAGCCCACTGAGTATTAGGGCTTCAACATATGAACTTGGGCAGAGCACATTCATTCCATAACACAGCCAAATCAAGATTGTTAGAAATGTAGGACAAATGGTATGACTTCTTAGTTAAGTTGCAAGGGAAATTTTTAAAAAAGAGAAAGAGGAAGGACTTATATTAAAGAAGTCTTGAGAGGCATACCAAGCAATTGCAGTGGGTGGACTTTATTTGGCTTCTGATTAAATGGACATAATATTAAAAAGTTATCAGACAGTTGAAATTTAAATAATGATTGGACATATACTGATTTTAAGGAATTATTTTAGCTGTTTGAAGTGTGATAATTGAGTCTTGGTCATGTTTTAGAAAGCCTTCTTCATCTAGTGTTATACAACAATGTATTTATAGATGCACGAAATGCTGTTTAATATAATTCATTGATGTAAGTACTGGGTGGGTGATAGATGAAATAAGATTGGCTCAGAGCTAATTTCAATCCTGTGTAATGGGTATATGGAGATTCATTATATTATTCTCTATACATTTATGTTTAAACATTTCCAAACTAGAAGGTTAAAAATGTCACAGAAAACACATTAAGCATAAAGTGCGGCATTGGAGAGCTTTTGCGTGTGTGAGGTTAAGGGAAGCAAGGAGATGAATGTTTTAAGGTCAAAAGCTCTGAGAGAGCTCATTTGAAGAGTATAACCCATGACTCTTTACTTGATTTTACAGGTTGTATGAAATGTATTTCAATTATGACACAAAACATGCATTAGAAACACTTCAAGAAGAGAAGCCTGAGTTGACCGTCATCTATGAACCCCCCCGGTAGTGCTGGACACAGGGCCGCCAGACACCCTATTCTTTGCCTGTGCCCCAACCAGGAGCAGACAAATGGTGTGAGCCCTCCTCCACCCAGGTTAAGGCTGCTGCTCCGCGATTCTTCTGGTCCAGCAGGAGGATGGATCTAGCTGATGATGCACAGAGACCGTGAGCATCCTCCCAACCTCTGGGCTGAAGACATCAGGGAAATGCAATCACCCAACTGATACACGGTTCTCGTCACAGAGACTAGGAGGGTGTGTTTCTCTTGGGAACCTCATAGAACTTATTCAATAAAGCACTTTTTCTGTCTTCCTTTTCTCTTTTTACTTTCCAAATCTCTTTTCCTTACATGTTTTTCCCCTTCTTTGTTCTGTTTACTTTTGCCCATGACTCCTGCCATCTTTACCATAACTGACCATGACAGAACAAGTTATCTATATATTATGTTGCAATTTTGTGGCAGCAACTTATTTATTTTTAATTTTTGTAATAGTTATTTTTTTTAATAAAAGAATTAAAGTTTATTGCATCTGTTTGAAAATTCAAAATATAGAAAACTTTCTTATATTTATTGAGTTAAATAGTCTCCTTTAATTTTAAAAAAGGAAGCCTAAAAATGTTTTTACTCATTTTTCTAGAGTTTTATTTATTCTAAAACTCTCTGCTAAATGACTCCATTTTAATGGCTTGGGAGAAAATTGCCTCATCCTATCTAATGGCTCAGTTTTCAGCTCTAGAGGACAGAAAGTTGAAAATCATGAAAAGGAAGGCTTTAGGCTGGAAAGGGAAGGTTTCTGTGTAATTAAATAGAATTATGTGGAAAATGCATTTTGCCTTTAGCTATTATAACTTATCTTGTATTTATCTCATCCTAGGAGCAGTTCATCTATCATACTTCACATAGCATACAATGATTAATAGATATAATTAGTTGCTTCTCTCCACATGAGGCAACCACATGGAATTGTTCAGGATGGGAATACTACTTCTGTCAAATGAGCCCCTGCTACTCAAAGTGTGGCCAAAGGGCTGTGCATATAAGGAGCTCGTGCAAAAATGTAAATCAATTATGTTCCCAAGTACGCTTTTGAGATAAGTTGACTTCGTTTCATGATAAGACTTTCCCAATAAAGGACATGGTATGTGATTTCTATTCTGAAGAAACTTTTTGTTTTGTTTAAGACCAGCATTTCTGAGCAACTGATCTAGATATTTGTTTTTTGCATCTTGATAAAGGGAGCTATTGCTGACTGTGTCCCTGCCTCAGACACCTTCACATATAGGATAAAATGTAATCAAAAGCTTAGTTAAGCTGGAAAGGGAGAAAGATAAGTTTCTGGACACTAGAAGCTAACAACTGTATTGAGTTTACCTCTCAGAGACACAGAGGAATATCTGAAGAGATAAAGACCCCATAGTATAACTACAAATTTAGAAACGCCCATGAGGTTTTCCACACTAGTAGAACTAAAAACTAAAATTGCTGGGTAGAAAATCAATATATAAATATCAGTGACATGCAGATGGAAAAGAATAACTGTTTTCAACTGTCATAGAGAAGATGAGGTCAGGCAGGAAGTGGTAGTTGCTGCTAAGACCTAAAGGGAAATTTAAGTGAAGAGCAGGACACTTGTGTAGTCTGAAAGTACCTCGCCACAGGTTGCCAATGAGTTGCAAAAGGGAAATATAGCAACTATATGAAAAACAGAAATTAAATGGCACACTTATCATTTAATAAAAGAAATCAGTGACGGCAGATGGATGTCCACATTCTACTCCAGCCATTGTGCTCACCAGTTGCATGCTGATGGAACAGGACAGCACGTCACATCGGCAGCACCGCCCTGCAGCTGTGGAGTTTTGTGACATTGCATGGGGCACTTGCGGACCACCCCTTGCTGTCCAACCTGACAGTACAGCAAAACGGATCCCTTATGCAGCTGCTTGTTACCCGCAGGAGGACGATGAAGGCTCCCTCTTCCTCTGTGAGATACACTCTACATGCCTTTCAGGAGGCCCGCTGGCACTGACCCCTGTGATTCACTGTAGGGGCCAGTTTATTACATCTCCTTTGAATCCACTTTCCTTCTGTTGTGGGTTGCATTGTGTCCCCTCCCAGCTACCCACCCCATTTCATATGTTGAAATCCTAGCCTGCATTACCTCAGAATGTGACTTTATTTGGAAATAGGGATGTTGCGGGCATGATCAGTTAAGACGGGAGCATACTGGAGCAGGAAGGGCCCTGGTTCAGTGTGACCGGGGTCCCTATAAAAGGACAAGATTTGGACACAGACGTGCACACAGGGAGAATGCCATGTAAATATGAAGACAGAGATCTGCAAGCCAAAGAATGCCAACAATTTCCAGAAAACCAACAAAAACTAGGAGAAGGGCATGGAACAGATTCTTCCTCTTTGCCCTCAGAAGAAAGCAACAATGCTGACATCCTGGGTCAGAAACCCAGCCTCCAGAACTGTGAGGTGGTATGTTTTTGTTGTTTACACCATGCAGCTTGCAGCTTGTGGCATTTCTTGTGACAGTCTTAGCAAACTAATATAATCGTAACAGCAAAATGTGTATTCAGGCTAAAACGATACCTCTCACTCCTGGAATTGATGCTATCACTAGCAGCCAGGGGAAGCTCTCCCAGTGACCAAACTTTGTAGGAGTGGAGATTCAACCTATTCCAGTTTGTCTTCATATTAACTAATTATAGCTGTAATGATATCTTTCCAAATTAGGTCACATTCTGAGTTAGTGGGGCCAGGACTTTAATGCATGAATTTGGGGGGACACAATTTAACTCACAAGAGTGCTGTGTCTGACTCCTCAAACCCTTATTTTTCTCACATGCAAATACATCCACTGTATCCCAACATCCCCCAGTCTTAACCCATTCCAGGTTCCAATCACACTTAAATATCATGTCTCAGGTATGGGTGGGACTTGAGGGATCATTTGTTCTGAGACAAAATTCCATTCCAGCTGTGAACCTGTGAAACCAGACGTCACGGGATGTATTTCTGGAGTGGGACAAGCACAGGACAGGCCTTCCCATTCCAGAGGACAGAAAGCAGAAGGTGAAAAGGAGTCACTGGAACCAAGCGAGTATGAAAAACGAAATGCGACAGGGCAGATTTCATTAGATTGTCGGGCTTGCGAATAATCCTCTCTGGCTACTCCCAGGACAGTCTCTGGGACCGAGAAGAGGATGACCTCCGCCCTCTGAGCCCTGACTGTGAGGGCGGGCTCGGCAAACTGTGAGCCGTCTCTGGGGTCTCCCCTTCTCTTGAAGCATGCTGTGTATTTTCAGGCAGATAGTTTTGTTGATCCATTTCCTGTCTGTAGAACCCTAGAGTCTGACAGCCTTCCTTCATTTCTTCCCATCTCTCTCTCCCTTAGTCCAGCCTGTGAGTGTGTCTGCTGATAGAACACTGACGAAAATCATGTTGGTCTCCTGTGTGATTCACGGGGGTCCAAACCTTCAGTCAAGGGGTGCTCCATGGATATTCCCTGGATGACTACACCTCTCTTCTTTTTTAAAAAAATTTTTTTAAATTTTCGGATCATTAATCTACAATCACATGAAGGACATTATGTTTAGTGGCTTCCCCCTTCACCAAGCCCCCCCACATCCCAGTTCACAGTCACTGTCCACCAACATAGTAAGATGCTGTAAAATCACTACTTGTCACCAAGTTCACAGTTACTGTCCTTCAACTTAGTAAGATGTTGTAGAATCACTACTTGTCTTCTCTGTGTTGCACATCCCTCCCCGTGCCCCCCCAACACTATACATGCTAATCATAATGCCCCCTTTCTTTTCTTCCGGCCCTTATCCCTCCCTTCCCACCCATCCTCCCCGGTCCCTTTCCCTTTGGTAACTATTAATCCATTCTTGGGTTCTGTGCTTCTGCTGCTGTTTTATTCCTTCAGTTTTCTTTTGTTCTTATACTCCACATATGAGTGAGATCATTTGGTACTTGTCTTTCTCCTCCTGGCTTATTTCACTGAGCATAATAGCCTCTAGCTCCATCCATGTTGTTGCAAATGGTAGGATTTGTTTTTTTCTTAGGGTTGCGCAATATTCCATTGTGTATATGTACCACATCTTCTTTATCCAATCATCTACTGATGGACATTTAGGTTGCTTCCACATCTTGGCTATTGTAAATGGTGCAGCGATAAACATAAGGGTGCATCTGTCTTTTCCAAACTGGAGTGCTGCATTCTTAGGGTAAATTCCTAGAAATGGAATTCCTGGGTCAAATGGTATTTCTATTTTGAGCATTCTGAGGAACCTCCATACTGCTTTCCATAATGGTTGAACTAATTTACATTCCCACCAGCAGTGTAGGAGGGTTCCCCTTTCTCCACAACCTCACCAACATTTGTTCTTGTTTGTCTTTTGGATGGTAGCCTTACTGGTGTGAGATGATATCTCATTGTGGTTTTAATTTGCATTTCTCTGATGACATGCGATGTAGAGTATCTTTTCATGTGTCTGTTGGCCATCTGAATTTCTTCTTTAGAGAACTGTCTATTCAGGTCCTCTGCCCATTTTTTAATTGGATTATTTGCTTTTTGTTTGTTGAGGTGTGTGAGCTCTTTATATATTTTGGATGTCAACCCTTTATCAGATCTGTCATTTTCGAATATATTCTCGCATACTGTAGGATACCTTTTTGTTC